GTGCCCCTGAAGAGGGCCGGCTGCAGTGTGCCCCCCGGCCCCATAACCCTGGGCTTGAAAGGAAACCCCGAGGCTTTTCCTCTTCTGCAAATGCAAGAACAACCGCATGTCCACCGAGGATTCAAGGCGGTGCCGTGTGTAGCCAAGTGCCCGCGAGCAGCCTGCTTGCTCAGCCTGCGGCTGTGGCAACCTCAGGACCAGTACTTGTCTTTTTCCAGGAGATGACGGGGACTGGGAGTTGGCAGTGAGGTCAGATGGTTGTGGTGGATCCTGGTGGTTCCCGAACCGGTGGTCTGTGAAGGCGTCTCCGACGTGATGAAGCCGCGTCAGGGCTCACAGCCCCGGGAGTGGTCGGCCCCCCAGCAGGGGCAGGGCTGAGTGGGGCGATGCCCCGGCATACTCCGGATGGTGCTGGCTGCAGAGGCTGGATCGTGGGGGTGCTGGCCCCACGCAACACTGCTTCACCACGGTGGGGAGCTGGGCGTGGCTTTGAAGTGAAATGTGTAGGCACGGGATGTTGGATAAAGGAAATTTTCTTACAAAGGAATGAGAAAGACTAATCATAAAAGATTAATAAAAGGGGCTCTATTAAAGTTAGGAACTTGTCTTCATCAAAAGACATCATTAATGGGGAGAAAAGGCAAGGCAAGGGGGGAGGAGGAGACGCTCACAGAGGACTCACATGCAGACGATAGAATAGACACGTACAGTTGAGCACGGGCAAGGCGGGGGTGACCTCACGGAAATGGGGCCACACTTGTACACGCATTGAGCAGCTGAGGACATGCAGCGGCACCTGTCAGTCTTCTGGGAAATGCAGATTAAAGCCACCGTCTAACAGAGACCTCGCAGGCCCACTGGGATGGCTGAGGTGAAGATGGACAGCACCAAGTGTTAGCCAGGATGTGGAACAGTGGGTGCTTGTGACTGCTTTCACTCTGGAGAATTCTGCAGGAGGTCTGTGAAAGGGAGGTGCAGCCAGGGGTCCCCCTCCTCGTTACATACCTGACGAGATGCATACCACGTGCCACAAAGGACAGGAACAGGAGTGTTTATAACAGAGAGCGGTGGCAACCCAAATGTCTGTCCACAGGATGGATTTTGTACGTGGGAACACGTGACGATGAAAATCAGTGACTCTTAACATGTTACAAGAATGAACGACTTTTTCAAATGTAATGTTTAAGCAGCCAGACAGAAAAAATGATTCCATTTATGTAAAGTTCAGAAATAGGCACAATTTACCCCAGTGTTAGCAGTCAGGGATCTAGCTTTAGGAAGGAGGTGAAGGACAGTGATTGGGAGGCTCCCGAGGGACCTTGAGATGGGGTCAGTTCGTGGTAATTCCGCACACATTTTGGGTGAGTGTGTGCACACACACATTCTGTTTCAATACGTGTTTATTAAGAAGAAGCTTAACTCGTATGACCCAAATGAGTTAAAGCAAATGTGTGCGAGAGTGTAATTGATAACAGAATAGATGCTCATGGAAACACCTTCCGAAAAGAAAGGGAACAGAGGCACTCACACAACAGAAAAGCTGTGGCTGGATTCAGGCCCACCTCATCGTCAAGGCTGGCGACCCTCTGAGCTCAGTGCTCCTTCCGCTCGGCTCTTCACGGTGCACCTGCAGCCCGTGGTTCTCCCGCGTGGTCGCAGGGTGGCTGCCACAGCTCCAGTCTCTGCACATCCTCTTTTATTGGTATTATTATTAAAAGACTTATTTACTTATTAGAGAGAGAGAGCACGAGCATGTGTACACAAGCAGGAGGGGCAGAGGAAGAGAGAGAGAATCTCAAGCAGGCTCCCTGCTGAGTGCAGAGCCCGACGAGGGACTCGATCCCAGGACCCTGAGATCATGATCTGAGCCGAAATCAAGAGTCAGGTGCTCAACCAACTGAGCCACCCAGGGTCCCCGGATGTGGGGGAATTTTAAAAGGCAGAAAGTAACATATAGGATATATTTGTTCAGCCATTCACTTTCTTGCTCATACATAAATTCACTTAATAAAAATTTGACTGCCATGTGGCTAGCACACTGAGGGGCTGGTTCTGACGGAGTCTCTTGCCAGTTGCTGCTGGAGCTCGGCGTGGCCAGCCCACTTCGGGTGTCAGGCTGAGCCTCCTGAAGAAGAGTTATCATCAAAGAGACGCTTGAGGGATGAGCAGGAGGTACCCAGGTCAAGCTTTAAAACATCTAGGGAAGAAACAAGGAGAGAATCTTTTTTATATAGAACAGAAGAAGCACTAAAAATAAAAGAAAAACTTTACAAGTTGGATATCATGGAAATTGAAAACTCCTGCTATTTGAGACAAAAAGGCCACAGATTAGTAGGAGAATATAATCGTAATATGTATATTATGTATCTAGCTACAAAAATTCTGTCTAGAATAGAGAACCATAAAACTCACTAGAAGGACAAACAACTGGATTTAAGAAATGGGCAAAAGATTTGAACAGACACTTCACCAAAGAAGAGAAGCAGTGGCAGATGGGTGCGTGAGATGTTCCTCATTCATTTAGAGCCACTCAGTAGAATGGCTGATTGTTTTTTGAAGATTTTTTTTAAAGAGATCTTATTTATTTATTTATTTATTTTTATGTTTTAAAGATTTTATTTATTTATTTGACAGAGAGAGAGCGAGAGCAGGAACACAAGCAGGGGGAGTGGGAGAGAGAGAAGCAGGCTTCCCGCCGAGGAGGGAGCCAGATGCGGGGCTCGATCCCAGGACCCTGGGACCATGACCTGAGCCGAAGGCAGATGCTTAACGACTGAGCTACCCAGGTGCCCTAAAGAGATCTTTTTAAAAGATTTTATTATTATTATTTTTTTTAATTTTTTAATTTTTATTTTTTTAAAGATTTTATTTATTTATTTGACAGAGACACAGCGAGAGAGGGAACACAAGCAGGGGGAGTGGGAGAGGGAGAAGCAGGCTGCCCGCGGAGCAGGGAGCCCGATGCGGGGCTTGATCCCAGGACCCTGGGATCATGACCTGAGCCAAAGGCAGATGCTTAACGACTGAGCCACCCAGGTGCCCCTATTTTTTATTTTTTACATTTTTTTGGGTAAAAGAGTGTTGCCTTTTTTCCTCCCAAATTTTTAAATTCTAGTTAGTTAACATATAGTGTAATATTGGTTTTGGGAATAGAATTTAGTGTTTTATCATTTACATACAACACCCAGTGCTCATCCCAGCAAGTGCCCTCCCTCATCCCCATCCCCCGTCAAGCCCATCCCCCACTCTCCTCCCTCCATCAGCCCTGTTTGTTCTCTATTGTTAAGAGTCTCTCTCTCTCTCTCTTTTTTTAAAGATTTTATTTGAGAAAGAGAGAAAGCACAAGCAAGGGGAGGGGCAGAGGAAGAGGGAGAAGCAGGCTCCCGCTGAGCAGGGAGCCGGATGCGGGGTTCGATCCCAGGACTCCGGGATCATGACCTGAGCTGAAGGCAGATGCTTCACTGACTGAGCCACACAGGCGCCCCTGTTAAGTGTCTCTTATGGTTTGCTTCCCTCTTTTTTTCCCCCTTCCCATGTGTTCATCTGTTTTGTTTCCTGTTGGAAACATATTCCACATATAACTGAAATCATATGGTATTTGTCTATAAAGATTTTATTTTATTTTTTAAAGTAATCTCTACACCCAACATGGGGCTTGAACTGACAACCCCGAGATCAAGAGATGCATGCTCCCCAGACTGACCCAGCCAAGTACCCCCAGGACGGCTAATATTTGAAGGACGATACTAAGTGTCAGGGAAGGTGTGGAGCATTTGAGATTCTCATACGCTGCTAGTTGGAATGTGAAACCGTACGATCACTCTGGGGAAGGTCTGGCAGTTTCTTAGGAAGCGAAACATGCACCTGCACAGTGAGCCAGCAAGTCCATCCCTAGGTGTGGAACCATGAGAAATCAAAGTGCATAGCCATAAAACCCTCGTACAAGAATATTTATAACAAGCTTTATTCATAATAGCCCCGAACTAGCACCAGCCCCGATGGTCAGCAGCCAGGGCATGGCCCGGCAAAGTGCCCCATCCGTACCATGGAATACTGCTCCCTAAGCCAAGGAAGTAACTGCTGGCTCACACTTCAATTCAGATGAATCACAAAGACCGTGAGGCTGAGTGAAAACCAAGTGTGGGTCCCCAAATGGTTCCGTGAAGTTCTAGGCCAGGCCTCAGTGCTCCCTGGTGAGGGGGTGAGCGCCTCCCCAGGCTCTCCGGTTGCGAGTGTGGGGAGGGACTGCTGTGGGCACAGGGAGGGTTTTGGGGTGATAGAAATGCTCTGCCGCTTCACTGGGGTAGCGGTTACACAGCCGTGTACCCCCATCCAGGGTCACGGAACTGTTGACTTAGAAGGGGCACATTTTATATGGGATATGCCAGTGTTGATTTAAAAGGAGAAACAAAGAAATAAAAAGCATGCAAAACACCAAGCAGTGTGGCCCTGAGTCTGGGCTCTTCATGAGCACCCGGAGCTGCCCAGCCCTTCTGGGTTTGAGTTCACTTTATGTACTGGGGCTGCACTGCCAGGCGCCCAGCGGTCTCTGCAGAGAGGGGAACATTTGCCTAGGCGACAGTCTGTACATGTGTGCGTATATGCGCATTACATGCACACGTACGCGTACAGGCCTCTGTTGTGTGTACATGTGAGCATGCACACGCACACGTACGTTCTGTTGTTGTCAGACCTGCAGACTTCTGACTCCTCTGAGGTACACGAGGCATTTAGAGAGCTGGGGGCTCCTCTCAGTCCTGCTCTGGAAGAGCGCGAAGGACCAGCCTGCCAGAGGCTCCGGTCTTACTCCCACCCTGTGGCCGTGAGTCCCTTGTGGCGTGTCTGAGCCTCAGAGGCCAGCCAGCTGATTTCCTTGATGTCTGTTTCTGTTTTCACAACTCGTTATGCTCCCCCGCATCCAGTTTCAGAATCCCATTTCAGAATGGTGAATCTAGCATTAACCACATACACTTTTTGTTTTTGTTCTTCTTCTCACACAGGGTTACCTTCCTGCCAATGTGGACTGAAGACCAGCCACTCTCCAGAGAAAACAGAAAGAATATTTTGCTTTTATTGAGCACTGTTACGACTCTCGGAATGATGATGTTCACCAGGACACCTACAGGCAGGTGAGCTCCTCTCCCGTTTCATGTTATGTGAAGAACTTTAACTTGGTGATGATTGGTAGGAGGGAGTGTTCTCTCTAGCATGTCCCAAACTGGGTGACAGATTAGTGTTTTCTAATAAATAAACTTGAGAATAAATAACAGTATGCTTCTAATAATAGTATTGTTGTAGCCATAATAATAGTATTCTTATCTCCGGCTCCTTCTATGAAAGTGAAAAGGGTCTTTTTAATTGGAGTTACAAAACGGAAGCCTAAGATCCCTTGCCAGGACCCCGAGACCTGGCTCAGGAGCGGGGGGCACCTTTTGGCTCAGTGAGCTGCTGTCTGACCTGAAGGCTCGGGAGCAGGCATTTGCTGCTGGGTCGATCAGAGGAGAGTCTCTGTGGGCTTCGTGGGTGCAGGGCCCCCTGGGGCACTGGGGGACGGGATTTGGATGGACAAGAGCTGTGCTCGTCAGCTGGATTTGGGGGCACACAGCTCAGTCCATAGCAACACGTGTGGCCACTTTATCGTTCTTGCTGTTCACTTTAATTCAAAATGGGTATCATTACGGCTTCTTGAACAGTCCATTGACAGACGGTGTCTATAATGGGAAAAGTACTTAAAATTGATTTACAGTTCACAATACATTCAGAATTTGCTATTAGAATAGCTTTTTGAGGGCTTTGTAATTCTCAGTCTTTGTAATATGTGAGAATTCAGAATGGTTTGTGCTGCATTCATTCATTCTCTTATTTTTGTGCTGCATTTAAATAAAAAGGTCGTTCGTAACTGGTAGCCCTGCCTCCTGTTTCTGAAATCAACTTCTGACTTTCCTGAGACTTGTCAGTACTGAATATTTCCTTTTGGAAATCCTTCTTCTAGGTGAAGGAGCCTTGCCGAATTTTTCTGCCTCAAATGTGGGCTGTCCACATCTCTCTGTCATTTCGGTATAGATCTGTTAGAAAGCTCCAAAGACAGGTCTTCCCTCTGACTGATAACCGGAGGTTCTTCAAGGTTAATGGATTCTGGGGAAATATCTTCCTCACGGATGGGATACAGTGGAGCTTGGAGGATTGTCATGCTTGAGAGTGGGGACCCAGAAGAGGGCAGGAACTCACTTCTGTTGCCTCCTGGGGCGGGGCCCCTCTGCCTCGGGGCCCTCTGCCTCTGGCTCATCCTCAGCCTCGCCTCAGTGGCTCCGAGGGCACGAGAAACTGATTTGAGAGAGGTTGCATTTGGATTTGGTTAGGGAAATATCAGGTTACCAGGTTTTTCTTTACACTTCACTAATTTTAGGGAATGGGCCAATTTGGTATTGTTTTGAATATGTTCCTCATGAATTTTCATTCAAGAGAAAGACTTCCAAAGGATGATACCAGCATCCATCTATAAGAGTTACCAAGCTGTGTTCTATTATGAATTTCATAAGGGAAAGTTAATAAAAAATGGGTTACATGCATCTTTATTCAGTTACTATGATGGGTAATAAAAAGCTTCCATATTATTGCAAACTCCCAGAATGTGTCTACATTAATATAGCTGAGAACAACGCAGCCTGTGGCAGTTTGGTTGGCTTGCTGGCTTTGCAGACCCGCCTGCTGGAGGTGGACCCCATCCTGTCTTTGCGGCTCCTGTCTCCGACACGCTGTTCTGTCCAGGCAGAGCCTGGGCTGGTCTGGGGCTCGGGCACCTGCTGTCTCCCTGCTGCCTGCTCCTGGTGGGTGCCCCGCCCTCCCACACTGCCAGGAGGTGGCAGGAGCGCGGGGCCGCGGCCTGCTTTTACACCCCTCTGTGTCCTCTGTCCGTGTGCTTAGTGTCTGGTGGAAGACGTCATGCCCAGAGCACACCGAGTCGGTCAGATTCGAGATTCATCCGGTGTGTCCTCCCTAGGAGGGAGGAGTTCTGCAGCCGTCTGGGCCTCCCCTACATCTCAGCCCTGTACGTGGGGAGCAGGTGGCCTGGAGGGGTCCACAGAGCCCCTTGTGCCCAGCCTTGTGCAGCGCCCCCTCTCAGGTTGGACCTCCTCCTCCTGTTGGCACAGACCACGGTGGGTGGAGTTACGGTGCCTGCTGTCCTGGCCACTCAGAAAGCACATGATGGGCAGCTCTTGTGTAAGGGGGGGCAGACGTGTGCCTGAGTACGATGGCATGAGGGCAGTGTTCTCAGGGTGGCCCTCGAGGATGCCCTGGTGCAGGGCGTGCGTCGGGCTGGAATCCTCGGGCCCCCTAGGCTGGATGGTTCACCCCTCCCTCCCAGCCCCGCTGCCCGCAGGCCTCCTTCGCACATCGGGTCGCACGCATGTCTCCGCTTCCTCAATCTTCCCCGGGTTGCTCAGAGGGCTTGGGGTTCATCGTTTCCTGTGTTGCTCTTGTCTGGCTCCTTACCTCTCATTTTCCTTCCCATTGTCCTTCATTGCTGCCCATGGACTGTGCTCCCCGAATGCTGAGTCCACTGGCCCCCAACTCCCTCCCGGTTCTCTCCCCTGGCTGGATGCTGCTGAGGGGCTGCTGGTTTCCGGGTTCTCCCCTGAGGGAAGAGCCCCAGGCAGGAGCCCGTCAGTGGGGAAGCAGCCCCCACGCTGCAGAACGGTGTGGTTGGCGGGGGTCCCTAGGCTGTCGATCCACCTTGTGCTCTCTTCACCAGTCACCCTTTGAGGTATGGCAGGCACCTTCTAGACAAGGACGCCGAGCCGCAGGGCCTGAGTGCTGTAGCCAAGGCTGCAGCGCTAATAAGGCAGAGTGAGGACACTGTCCTGGTCCTGTGGATAGTAGGATCCTTGTGGTCACGTACGAAGACAGGGGGATGGACCTGAATCGTAGACTCCCTCTTGGCATTAAAATGTGCACGTCTTCCTTCAGCAGACCTTTCCCTGGGTGATGGGGATGGTGACCGTGTTGGCCAGTGGGAGATATTCGTGTGGGATATTGGGAGCCAGCCTGTGATGCCGGCTCAAGGCCTGAACGCTCTTACTCGGTTGCTGCTTGAACGGCAGGTGTTTTCCCGTGCAGAGTGGGGGCCTTCGTGATGACTCAGGTCAGTCGGGGGCCAAGTAGGGATCAGCTAACACCAGCAGAGGTTTTCAAGTGCTTCCTTTGAGAAGTGCCCTGGATCCCCACGGACTCTGTGAAGTGAAGAATGTGGCCTGGGTGCCACGAAGAAGCTGTCACCGCCGAGAACTTGTACACTATCGATGCCCCTGAAGTGCTCCCCGTGTCCGAGCCTGGAAATCAATGTTTACTAATTGCTATGGATTATGTTGCTGAAGAGCTGAGGGCTGCTCTCTTCCTAATCACGCAGCAGCAACTGTTTGGTCGGGAAGTGTCAGGCAAGCCTTCACGCTGGGACTTAGGGAGCCCCATTCAGGTAGCACTGGCCAACTCCTCTGGAGCCGAACTCGGTGACGTAAGGAATTTGTGTTTTCAGAGTGGGAGCAGCTTAGAGTCCAGAGTAAATTCATTGCTGTTGTTAAGGGTTGCTATTTTAAGCACATGCTTATAATGACATTTGTCATCTTGTAAAGTAATACATCTTTCTCCTGCATCTCCAGATCCATATAGACATCCCTCGAATGAGTCCAGAAGCATTAATACTTCAACCCAAAGTGACAGAGGTAAGAGCCGGGGATCTGGAAATGCCTGTGGGGAGGGTGTTTCCTCCGTCGGGGTGGCGGGTTCCCACGGAACTAGTGAGATGGTTGGTGCCGTTGGGGTGCTTACCCACCACAGGTTTGGGGGTAGCCCTTGTGAACATAGTCCCGGACAAGAACCGCAGATTGTTCTTAAAATATTTTGTGTGTAATATTGAGGCATATAAAGGATACGGGCGTGTGCAGATAGAGCGTACCCTCGTGTCCATCCCCACTGAGGACCGGGAACCCCACTCGCGTTGGACCCATCGTGTTGGAGCTGCTCCCAGTTCTCACCCTGCTCTCAAAGGGCCCCCAGGACATGACCGACCTCCTGACTCTGTGACTCCCCACGACCTCAGCGCGTGTCGTGTGGTGTTGTGGTCAGTCCCTCTCCAGGAAGCAGTGGGGGCCGCATCCTTCCTCCAGTAGCCTTGTCCATCTGCAGCTTGTGGTTTTCTTCCATGTTATGTTCTCAGATTCATCCAATCTTGTGTCCAGTTGTATAACAATCCATCATTTAAATATCGCGCACTCTCTGCGGCCTTTTTCCCATTGCCGGGTATTTGAGTGGGGTCTCATGTTCTGTGCTCGGGACCTTCAGGCGCTTTCTTGCAGGTGCCCATGGGCAGGAGTTTCTCTGGGGCACTGCTGTAGACATGAACTAGTTGTGTGCTGGGGTGTGAGCCTCCTGAACCCGCAGGATGGTGTCCGCTGCTCCCAGGTGGGCTGTGCTCCTCGAGAGCTCCCTTGCGGAGTGTGCGTGCCGTGCTCCACATCCCTGCCAGGACTTCCCACTTCGTATCCCTCTGGCGGGCATTCTTGTGGTGGCCTTCGTCTGCGTGTCTCTTGTTCCAGGTGGCAGCGAGCACCTCTTCCTGGATTTATGGGTTCCTGTCTTCCCTCCTCTGTGAGATGCTTGTTTCTGTCTTTTGCCCATTTTTCTTTTGGGTTGTTGATCTAATTTTTTATCGGCTGCTGGTCTTTGTATGTTAAGGATTCTAAATCTTTGTCATTTCGCGGGTCACACGCGTCCTCTTCCACGCCGTGGCTGCTTCTCACGTCCTTCTTGGCGGCTTTTGGGGACCAGAAGTTCCTTGTTTCCATGTGGTCGAGCTTCTCCATCTCTTCAGATGTTCCATGCATCTGTCAGTGCCTGCTGTGCATGATGTGAGGTAGGACTCCAGGGAACTTGCCCATGAAGGGATCTGCCGGGCCCGGCCTCGTGCGTGGCCTCCACCTCGTCTGCCCGTGTTCGCAGCCTCCCTTCTGGTATTCGTCCTCACACTTGTACACGTGTTTCCGTGGTCTCTGTTTTGGCCCAGGATTCAAGGTGTCTTCCCTCAACACCACACCGGCCAGTGAGTCCAGCTGTGTCCTGAGTGGCCCCGTGGGCGGAGCCCCATCCCCCCCTTCGCTGGTAGGCCTCAGGCCCTCGCACGCCCACCTGAGCCTCACGGTCAGATGGCCCCAGCTTCTCTGTGCCCCGTTGGTGTTTACTGTCTGCTGGTCGTGTGGTGGGAGCTGCACAGAGTCTGGAGACCAGTTTGGGAGGATGGACGTCTTCGTGAATCCCAGTCTCCCTTGTCACCAACGTTTGGATTCTCCATGTTCTAGGCCATTTCAGTGTAGTTTTAGAATGGGCTCCATAAAAGGTCTTGTGTGTGTTTTATTAGATTCATTCTTAATTATCATATTTTTTGTTGCTATTATAAACAGTATCTCTTTAAAATGGATTTTTTTTTTTACCGTTTGAAGTATTTTCTTTGCATCTTGATTGCTCCCCTAAATGCACTTTTAAACTTTGCTGTCTCTTGTATGTTTGGTAAGTTTGTTGAACAAAAATCCTGGATGACAAAAGCAAAAATACTTCCAGATTATAGAACACAAAAGGAGAAAATTAGTCTTCCACAGAAGTATTCATTTTGAGACACTTCTTTTTGATTGTCTTCTTCAGCAGTTGTACTTACTGTATCTGGGAAACAAGAGATAAGATATTGTTATCTCTTTTTTACTTATTTAATGGAAGGTGGAGTCAGCCATAGACCTTTGGTTTATTTCATTTTTATATTTTTCCCAACACTTGACACCTTCCTTGCAGAGCTGAGCTCACAGCCGCAGTTGGTGTTGATTGGTCTACTTGTCTCTGATGTCCTGGGACCTTGGTCCCATTGTTTTGTGGCGCCTCTTCCCTGGCAACCGGTCTCTCTGTTAAACGGTTTCTTGCTCTGGGCTCGTGTGCGTCCCCTGGAGCTGCAGACCCTGCCTAGGCCCCCGCTCAGCAGGGCAGTGCTACCCAAGGGGCTGCTGGGCTCCCCGGGAGGACGTGGGGCTCAGGCAGGCTGCCACATGCAGGAGAGGGCCATTTGGGCCCAGCTCTGGGTGTGCAGGGAGTGAGGTGATAAGCAAGGGGCTTTAGGAAAAGTATGGCCTTGTGATTGGCGGTAGGCAGACCCGGTTCTAGTTTCTGACGTTATGGAGGCTTGGCTCAGGGGTTTCTGCAACAGTCAGTTGGTGGCCTGACCACACAGAAGGGTGTTCCTGTCTCAGGCACGGGCTTGCTGGCCGTGGGGTGGCTGCTCCTCTGTGCTTGGCCTCCCCCTCATGGTCCCCGCTGGCCGCTCTGTCTAGCTCTCTGCATCACGTTTGTCTTTGAGCAGCATGAAGGACCACACGCACAGAAGGTCGTGCCCCTCCCTTTCCACCTGTTTTGTAGAAGTTGCTCGCAGTGCTTCTCACATCCTGCGGCCAGAACGGAGTCATGGCTTGTCCTTGGTGTATGGAACCGGGAAAATGTCACTCCGATTGTAGCTGGTCCGTGTGCCTCCCCGAAGGCTGGGGCTTCTGACTGCTCGGGAAGAAGGGTTTCGGCATTTCCCCCCATCCGTCCCCACGTTCCCTGATTCACTCAGCAGGCGAGGTCTGGTTCTGCTTTGGTGGTCCTTCTCCACCTCCCCCCGTCCTCTTCCTCCTGTGGCTTCACTGAGGTCTAGCGGACATAAAATAAAATTCACCTCTTTGAAGTGTGCAGTTAGATTGGTTTGATACCTGTATGTAGCAATATGACAACCACTTGAATCATGATCTAGAACATTTCCATCACCCTGAAAAGTTCCCTTTGCTGTCAGCCTCCCGTCCCCACCCCATGCCCCTGTGAAGTACTCATCCACTTTCAGTCTCTCGAGGTTTACTTTTTAAGAATGTCCTACAAATGGAATCACACGAATTGCAGCCTTGCCTGAGTGGCCTCTCTTGGAGCTCAGACACTCGTTCGCATTGTCACATGTCGCTGCTAAGTGGGACTCTGTTGTCTGGGTGTATACCTCAGTGTGGTTACCCATTGGCCAGTACTCGATGAGTACTCGGGCTCTTCCCAAGTGGGGTCATCGCAGATTTGCTGTAAACCTTGTAGAGTGCTAGCGAAGGCCCCTGTGTCCCCTCTGTGCTGAGTACATGGCAGAAGGGTGGTTGTATGGGACGTGAATGTGCATCTGCTTCATGAGAAACTGACAACCTAGTTTCCACAGTGGCTGTCCCAGTCTGCACTTGCACCGGCAGGGCATGAGAGTCTTGCTCCATATCCTTGTCAGTACTCGGTATTGCCAGCCTTTTTAATTCTCGCCAGTTTTGAGCGGGTGTGTAATGTATCTATGGGGTTATAATTTGCAGTTCCCTGATGACTCATGATGTTGAGCATTTTTACAGATGCTGATTTGCCATGTGTAGATCTTTGATGATGTGTCTGTTCCATTTTTGCTCACTATCGAATTGCTTTTCAGACCTTTTGCTTGGGGCTAGCTCACCCTGGAAATCCCTATTTTATGGAAGCTCAGCTAGATTTGGAGGCCTTGGGACTTGTTTAACTGCTGATAGGAAGGTCTTGAAATGAGCAGAGTGGATGGTGTAGGGCCGGATGGCCATCGCCCAGGCGCTCCCAGCCGGGAAGCAGAGGCTCAGCTGGAGCCTGTGGCCTTTGTCAGGAGGTTACCGCCCCCCCCCCCAGGTTGAATGGGTCCCAGGAGGACAGCAGACCTTCTAGCTCCAGTGCCTGAGGCAGCATGTGTCCCGGAGCCGCTATTCACGGCTACTTGTCGATGAACAGCTGACCAGATGCCTCTTTCTCTCACCTGTGACGAGTGAGTGTCTGGTTCCCTCTGGGCCTTCAGATCTTACTGGAAGGTGGTCTTGTCAGAGGCGCAGTCCCTGATGACCCTCTCGCGGCGCTTCCTGTGGGATTGTGTGTGACTTTTTGTTTATGACACGACTCCCTCTTCCTGTTTGTCCGCTCCTGAGGGCCGGGCTGGGCCCTGGCTGTGTCCTGGGTGTCTGGAGCATCTCCTGGAACCTCATGGGATTTAGGAGATTTTGCTGAAATTGATAATGTTTTTATCCAATGTTGTTGTCTGAAAGTAAAATTCATAACTTTCTGGCTCCCTGTTTTTTTTATTTATTTATTTTTAATCTTTTGCTCAGTATTGAACAAACTAGATTTGTTACATTAAAAAAATACGAATTCGGACCGGTGGCCCTGTGGCTACTATGGTGGGTGCAGTGAGTTTATTACAAGAACCATATTCAAATATCGCTGCTGGGCCTTTTCTCCTGAGAAGTTCATCATCTACTGAGTGACTTTGCCTCCGTGGTTATTACATTTTCTGCCCTCTGGTTATCTGCTTCTTAGAGCAGTTTCACAAATTAGGGAAATGAGATGCTTTTTCCAATTAGCCATGCAGAAGTGATGTCTCATTACATTTAAAAAGACACAGAGGATAATGAAACATGCAGGCTTTTTAAGCCACATTATTTATGTGCAGTTTTTAGAATTAGGGTGATGAGTTTTCCATGGCCCTGAAGGATGGACATTTTCTAGGAGGCACATAGAAGCGGAGCACAGGGGACGTTCAGAGTGGGCTCCTGCCTGCGGCCGTGCACTTCCTGTGCTCTTGTATGGAGACGCGTGGGCTCTGCCCCCTGCCCACGGCCGG